GTCTAAAGAGATGGAGCCTGAGATGAAGAATATCTTTGGAGCAAGATACAAAGATGTATTACTTAGAATGCAGAAAGCGGTATTAAGCCGCACAGTGAACATTGCAAGAACATTTAAATTAATCACATCTTAAGGACATTTCAAACATTCCAAGTATTTAAACTGCATCTTAAGAACATTAATAATTGGTTTTAAGTGATTGTATATATTATTAATCCTGTCATGCTGGTAGGTTACGAAATTACGCCCTATCTAGCTTACCTAATTAGCATTCAAACGTGTTTACTGCTGATAATAATAATAATAATAATAACAATAATAATAGGCTTTATTTCATGAGGGTAAACACATAACAGTAGTTAAAAAAACACTGATGACTCTGTGGCCCTCAAAGCTCTTAGGCCCCGTCCACACGTATCCGGACGTCAGCGTATTCGAAAATTTGCGGATACGACCGTCCACACGTATCTGTATTCGGAGCGTATACGAAAATTTCCACTCTGGAGACCGTTTTCGAAAATTTCCGGATACGGATACAAAAATTTCTGGACACGTGTGGACGCAACCCGTATCCGCTAAAAAAATTTGCGGATACAAACATTTCCGGATACGTGTGGACGGGCCTTGAGGGCAAGTGGCTATGTAATGTCATGGAAATGCATTGATTTGACGTCCACCAAAGCCCACTTCGTCACGATGGCAAATTGAACGATTTCACGCGTGATTGAGAAGCGGTATAGAAATCATCGATTTATAGGCTATGACAACTACGAGACAATGCTTGGCTTTTTCTTTTTTATCCCTAAAACAGAGTAAATTATGATTTTCGAGAAAGAACGACAACGTATTTTATTGGCTCCTTATAATAAAATTTACAATGGAGTTTATAACCAATAATAATAAGCCCCCATTTTGCTCTTTTCCTTTTTTTAAAGCATTCATGAACAAATTTTGCCAAAATCGTTTGACAAAAAAAATGCCCTTTGAATTTATAAAAGTTTATAAAAATAACTTAGCTTGTAACTGAAAGTGGCTAAAAAGCTGATACCAGTATATACAAGGTTTTATTTGAGATGGTGGGAGTACTCATGAGGTTCAAGAATATGATATCAACCGCTGCCAAATTAGCTATATATAAATCATTTATTTTACCTCAGCTGACTTACTGCCACATAGTATGGCACTTTTGTCGTGCTTCAGATAATAGGAAATTAGAGCGCATTCAGGAGCGGGCTTTAAGGGCAATTTATTGCGATTGGAATAGTTACTATAGGAAATTGCTCGGGAGGGCAAAACTTCCAACTTTGTGTGATCGTAGGTTACAAGACTTAGCTGTACTAATGTACAAAGTATAAAACAACTTAGCTCCTCCTTATATATCTAATCGTTTATATGAAAAAAATTACAGCTCATATAACCTTAGAAACTCAGGGGACTTTGAAATACCTAGATTCAATACTATTAGTTATGGGAAACATAGCATACGTTACACGGGTCCATATATATGGTTTAGGATTAGCAAGTCAGTCAAAGGGGCAAAGTCACTTAGTGCCTTCAAAAATCAAATACGCAAACTAGATATTGAGGATATGCTTGCACTAAAGTGTAAGAACTGTAATTTATGTAGTAACTAGCTTATTTATCTATTTATTTATTTGTTCATTTATTCATCTATTTATTTAATTATTTATTTATTTTTCTTATTTTTCTTTTTTGAGTTTAGTGGGGAAGGTTAAGTGGGAACGTTTCATATATTGGGTTAAGTGGGAAGGTCCAGACACATATGCTGTCTGGGAAATTAGGGGTAGACACAGGGAAATATAGATTTTAGTAAATAAGAAGAATGGGAACATTTGGTTGTGAGGGACGGGATATTACTGTATAGTAGACTAGTGTAAATATAGAGTGCAAACCATAAATCCGTGAAACACTAATTACTAAATAGTAGTACAAAATAGTGCTAATTAAACAATAGAAAACAAAGGAATTTGCATGAAATTGTGCTATTTAGTATTACTAAAGTTTCACGGTTATATTGTTTGCACTCTACTGTCTGGGAAATTAGGGGTAGACACAGTGAAATATAGATTTCAGTATATAAGAAGAATGGGAACATTTGTTGTGAGGGACGGGATATTACTGTATAGTAGACTAGTGTAAATATATAGGGGTTGTTTTAATTTAAGGGTTTGGAATACGGGAATTGTATTTATTGGTTTTATTGGGTCTTAGATAGGTGTCCCCAATTAGTTTATTTTGTAATTATACAGCTTCTCATTAATCCCAAATAGGTAACTGTCCAATTATTTTCTTAATTGGACAGGTCTTGTTGATATGGGATTAATTAGGCAGCTATATAATTAATAGGTAATGGGATTTCATGCTCCCCAATCAAGAAATAATTAGACTCGAAAAATTCCTCTGACTGCCAAATTGGACTTGGCCTACGGCCTCGTCCAATTTTGGAAGTCCTCGGAATTTTCCTCGTCCAATTATTTCTTAATTGGACAGCATGGAGTCCTATTACATATGCTAATAAGCTAGAACGATGTGACACAATATATTTATTATTATTATTATTCAGAACTTTATTTCAAATATTCATGGTGAAAGTCACGACTGTCACACTACACAACTTATAATCAAATCAAGGCCGTTAACATGACGTAAGTCACGGTAGTAACACGATTTATATAGTACAAAACAGCAGCAATGAAAGAAATAAATGGGTTTGCACTTTCACAGTGTTTCGTTCATGCAACAAGTCATGGATGTCACGCCGCCGCAGGGTGCCCTACATCACACGAAACTTTAATTTGCCCATGATCACTCTAACACATCAATACAACATACTTTGCTACAGCATAAATATTACACACGAAATTTTTCAGCATAATAAATCCTTTTTAATAACACAACATTCGAATAGCATTTCTTTCACTTCTTTCTTCCACCACGTTCTTTAAGTTGAAGCTGCACCATGCTTGTAGGCGAKACATTATAGTAAGCCAATGAGTTGGAGTCTTTGATAAAGATTCCCTGGTGGGAGAAGAGAAAAGGTTAGTAAACTCCTTATCAGGTGTGATCATGAGGTTCACATTTCTATAAACAAGTAACGAAAAGAAAATTTTGGGCCAAAATATCTACGTACCCCAAGCTGGAGCTTCTGCTTTCCCGCTGGCATGCCTGTAACGTCGTGTATCTTGGCCTTGATGACAGAAATCTAACGAAAGGAAAAATGGAAATTTTTATTTTTTCTTTAAACCTTGAAAATTGTTCCTGTCCGGGCAAGAGAAAGAAAAAGAATCCTCTCGACATGAGGATAAAGCATAAGTCATGATTCCATAATTACGATTCCAACAGAGCTTCAGACTCCGATTTGCGATTCCTTTGCAAGTGCAAACAAACTCTACAAGAACTTTTCCAAGAAGACCGAACTAAACGAAATCGAATCTGCATGTTGGTCGTGCCCGTTTGTGTTTTGAAGAAAAAGAAAAGGAAATTTTGAAAAGGTAGTTTCATGCTCTTCCCCTTCCTCTCAACCCCCATCCCTTTTGAGCCACCGTGCAGGCAAGCCGATAAAGGGAGATGGACTGTTACAAGAGTGGGTTTCAAAGAGAGTCTAGTCACAAAATCAAAGAGAAGAAAGGAAGAGGACAGAGAAGAGATGGAAAAAGAAATTAGTGGGGAGAAATAAGAGGGAAAGAAGCAAAAAAAGGATATGCAAGTGACGCGTTAAAGAGAAAGTCTTAGATTAACATTTTTATTTTTAATGTCAGAAATCCAAACCTGGTCTGTAGGTGGCAGTGTGAGTGTTATCGGGTTGCCATCGAGTTTCCATTCACTCTTTTCTGGCAGGTTGGGTATTTGCACTTTGAAGGTGACAGGATTTGGATTGGTCTTGATGAACTCGTTTTCTGGTATGAGATTTGCTTCTGGTCCTTCTACTCTGCTCTTCTTAGCTAATGATTCTTCGTCCTCGTGCTCTCGCTTGTTTGTTTGTGGTGGTGGGGGAGGGGCATGCATTGGCGGAGCAGGGGGCATGTTCATGAACTGAGGTGGATGCACTGGGTGACCACCAGGTGGTGGTGGAGGTAGACCTAGAAGAAATGGAAATCTCTTTTAACACAGGCAGATCAATGTTAACTGTAGTGCTTTATTTCTTGTGTATGAACAATGATGCAAGGAATCTTTTCTCATTCAAATGTCTGCCATTAAACAAAACATCTCTTTGTTTCATAAGTAGTTAATAGAGCTCTAGTTTGCACATCAAACCCACCAAAAAAGAAATTCAAGGACTATCATGAAAAGTTTCTTTGCTTACCTATAAACTTTGGTGGTGCTGCTGCTGGTGGCATTGAGGGAGGAGGGGGTGGGGGTGCATTCATCATTGTTGTTACTCCAGGGGGAGGGGGAGGTATGGATAATGGAGATATAATTGAAGGTGGTGGTGGTGGTGGTGGTGGATGAGCAGCTTCAGAATGTTGTAGATTGGATTTGTTTCTTAAGATTTCTGCAATTGTTGGATGTTCTGGTGCCTTGGGACCAATTCTTTCAGACTCTTCAGATGGACTGCAATACAAGAACATGAAAGTAAGGTCACTTACTGCAAACCAAACATAGCCTCCTCCGACACTTTCTGGGTCCTGTGTAGGTCGTATTTATGGTAGTCAGTGCTGCAAAGCATAGGGACCCTAGCGCCATGATTGACAGGAGGTTACACCAACCAATCCTCATACTGTATTTTAAATACATAGTGTTTTAGATATCAGAGACAACTTCTGGTGTTTATTCACGAGAAATATTACTTAGTTTGTCTGATGTAAGACTGAACTGCATGCACAATTRAACTTTTATGATTTTAGGATTGGAACAGGTCTGGTGCACGGCAGCCAATTAATACTACAGGACGAAAAGCAGAATCTGAATAAGTTATCAGAAACTATTGTCCTCTTGTACCAACTCAGTTCAGAAAACATTTTTTGCGTTACTGCCATTTTCCTAAACTTGCAAACCCCATACCTGCTGGCTGTATGCTGAAATTTGTTTTTTTGCTGCCATCAATCAAATCTAATCAGTCAGTACCTTTCGGAAAAAACAAATTCCATCACGCAGCTACCAAGTTCGCATATTTATGAAAATAGCAGTAAAATGAAAAACTTACATCAATCCCTTTGACTTGTGTATAGCTTCAATTTGTTGTTCTACAGAGATTCCTGCCTGCGCCCTTCGTGATGTGGCAGCCATTGATGCAGTATGGCCATCCCAGGTCACCTTTTCTGGTTTCTTTTCTTCTTCTTCCCCAATCTTTCTTCCAATACCTGTTTCCTCATCACCAGCACCAAAGATATCTGTACGTCTCTCAGCAAGTTGTTTCAGGCTGCTTCCAATAGCAAAACCTTCAAATATACAGGTTAAAATTAGAAAGAAATTTTCTGAAATAAGAATATTTTAAATTGAACCCACTTTTTAATTAAATTTCAACAATAAAGAATCACCAAAAATTCACATCCAATATAAAAGTTGATGTTTGTGGGGAAATTGATTAAACCAAAGATCCTGGAGCATTGCCTGTGTTGTGGTACAAGGTGAAATCTTTTTTACTGTCAGTTTCATCCAAAAATACATTATTGCAGTTCTATAGACACTAAAGCAACACTTATTTTGTGCCAGCATTGTATTAATATTCTCCCTATGCTTCTCCTTGAGAATATTACATGTACATATAGCTGCCTTAGTTATCTAGTCCTTGAATAGAGAGTGGGGATGAAAAGGGCCATACAATATCTTACCTTCTGCATACACTTCCTCCTGAGTTTTCTTTTCACTCATTGCTCTGTCTCTTTGCTCCTTCCATCTAGGATCAAGAAGGTTGATCTTCATGTGCTCAGCCATGGCTGATGCAGGGACACGCTCCCCAGTAATAGGGGAGATCAAAAACTCCTCTGGTACCATGGGTGGCGGTGCTGGTTTAGGTGCCTTAGGATCATAGCCTCGCCGAATCTGTGCTGATGATCCAGAAATGGAGGGAGGGAGGGGTGGAGGTTTAATGACTGTTTCTGAGCGAGGAGGTTGAGGAGGTTCATTACTTTCTACATCCATATCCTGAAAAGGAACAAATTGAAATGTCCAATGAGGTTATTCATTCCTCTTTCATTCTCTCTATTGCACAAATTGTTATTTATTTAGCTTTTTTCAGACTATGTCTTTTCCCTGTTTTTTTTTTTTTTTTTTTTTTTTTTTTTTTTTTTTTTTTTTTTTTTTTCTTTTTTCTTTTTTTTGTTTACTGATTAAAAAAACATATTTTACAACCACCACTCCCCATGTGGGGCTCTTTTGTGAGGTTCCCTCCACACTCACTACCACTTCATTCTATATATACAACATACAACCCTCAGGTCCAGTGTTCTTACCAGGCCGCGCCATTGCGGGATTCGCGCATAAAAATCAGAAATGGCGCACAAATGTCAACACTATGCCCCCCCCAAGGCACATGAATTATCCAAAGAATACTTCCTGATAGTTTTAAAAGATTTATAGTACTTTTGAAATAATAAAAGTCGCATTATATTGTTGATRAACAAGGTGAAAGTCCACATGAAACGCCACGAACTGCAAATCGAATATAGCCGCCATCTTGTATTTCACTCGCCAAGACGTCTGGGACTAGTCTGTGTTAACTGACCTTGTTTATTGAAGGCTCAAGTATGGCTGCCCAGCGAAATTTTATTGYGTTGTCATTACTAATAAAACTGTCTTACATTGTTGTAGATTTGCAACAGAGTTACTGGCTAAAAACATTATTATTCTTTGTTTTAAGATTTTGGAAATGGCCCATCCAGTTTTCTAAATGGCCCCTAAATTTCGGATTGATGGGCCCTTTGACCCCCTGAAAGAAATTCCTGGTAAGAACACTGCAGGTCACATGTTGCTTTTTACAGAGAGAGGAAACCAGAGATCCCAGAGAAAACCCTTGTGGCAAGGGAGAGAACAACACATCAAACAAACTCAACTCACATATGATCCAGTCTGAGCCAGGGCTCGAACCCAGACCACAGTGGTGAGAGGTGAGCGGTAAACCACTACGCCACCCATGCCACCCGACAAATGATAATGATAATGATAATGATAATGATAATGATAATGATAATGATAATGCTTAACATACAGTTTATATGGATGTACATGTAATAAAATAAATAGAAGATTCCTATGACAAAGGAAAAGAATGGTATGAAATGAGAAAACGTTGCTCCAAGATAACAAAGTAAATTAGTTGCATGCTGCCTGTTCAGAGAATCTTAACAGGAGTACAAGAAAAAGCAAGACATTTAGTATCATGCTACAGTAATCTTTATGAATATTACTCACAATCTGCTGTTGTCTCAGATGACCAGGTCCTTCAGAAGGTTCGTCAACTTCCATTTCAACATCCATATTCATATCTGCTTCTTCATTAACATTATGATCCTTTAGAGTTAATAATACAAAATTTAATCATTTATAGCAATATAAAGTAGAAAGAGAGCCAAGGTTCATGCTACTCTAGACATCATCTACTCAATATTAACCATAGATCCATTTGTTTCTTTGTATGTGATCAAAATATCCACTAGTTTCGTACTCAGTATAGAAAAAAAGCTGTGAAACAATTGATTCTAATCACAAGTAATGTACCCAATGTTCATCAGCCAACCTTTAGGCTTTCAAAATAGAAATTTAACAGATCAAAAACAGTTTTCCGYGTTTGATAGTCTGATCAAAACACACGGGATGTTGAGAGAACACGAGAGGAGCATAGGAAACCACAACGCGTAGCGGAGTGGTTTCCAGCTTCTCGAGTGTTCTCTCAACATCCCAAGTGTTTTGATCAGAGTATCAAACACGGAAAACTGTTTTTGACTTGTTTTATAAAACAACAAACGCGCGAAAAGATCGAAAAAAGCAAAGTCTAAGTAAATTCTCCCTACGTGCAGTCTTATTCAAGCTGACCAATGAGCACGCGGGATAGATTAAAAATGATTACAGCGTGTTATGATACTCTCATTAAACATGGTTTTCGACCAATCATAGCGCGCGTAGTATCCCAATTATTTTGTAAAAATAAATCAAGAAGTTATTTACAAAAAAGAGATTAGCTAAGTGTCGAGTTAATGACAGACTGTTAAAAAATAGTAAAAATATAATACTTCTCATTGAAATAGAGTACAAACCCTAAATGTGTGCAATAGTTATCACTATTTAGCAGTAAACAGCACTAATTGAACAAAGGAAAACAATATAATTAGCATAAAATAACACTATTTAGTGATATTTATGTTGCACACTTTTAGTGTTTGTACTCTATAAAGAAAAAACTTTAACCAGTGAGTATTAGACCCTCAAAGATTATTTCAATGAAGTTTTAGCCCAATTAAATTTTAGACAATTTTTGTACTGGTCCCCCTTCAAAATTAATAAAATTGTGAAGTCTGAAGAAAATGAAAGTTTGGAAAGTGTTTCCTGGTCGGCATCTCTTGCCTTACAACAAATGTTTTTCAAGTATTACTAAAATCCCATTTAGGGATTATGCAGGGATTACCTGGAACACAGTAATCAAGAATTCCAAAATTCCAAAGCTATAAAAACATGTTACAAACCTTCATTTTTTCATATCTTTCTTGTGCCAATATTCTTGCACCAAGTTGTTCTTGGGTAACAGGTGGAGGAAGATTTCCTGTAACAATTAAAAGAAACACTTAAATTCCTTTTCCTTTCATTTCCTTTCCTTTAGTTCTTTCCCTTCTTTTCTTTTTCTTTTTCTCTTTTTTTTTCTATTAATAATTATTGATCAATTATACTTTCTACATACTTTATAGTGGAGCTCCCRTGCAGACCAAGCAGAGGACCATACTAAATGGTAAACCATTTAGTCGATTTCTCATGGCTTGGCTGACTTCACTCCCGTCTGTCCGTACATACATACATACATACGTACGTCTGTGTACATAACACAGGGATCCTGCTTGATGTCAAAGCATAACTCGTACTCGCAAATGCATCTCTCAAATGTACAGAAAAAATTGCTTTAGGACAAATTATAGACCAACAACAAATAAAAAAATTCCATGTAGTCAAAGATGTATCAAGAAGACAGTGTTCTTCAAGAATTCAGGTGTGTGTTTTTTAGCAAACAATCGTATATTATTATTTTTAATGACAAGCATTTTTCTCGACAAATCGACAATTCAAAGACTTCCTCTCAAAACTGTCAATTTTAATGCTGGAGGAAACATAACACGGAGAGCATATTACAACAAATATATTTTGTCCTTTATTTAGCTTTGTAAATCTTAAACAATTCGGTTGTTTTTAACCAAATATTGTATGTTTTTTATTCAAGAAAAATGAAGCTTTGATTGCCTCCTATTGCAGGGTCCCATCGGCAAATCAAAGAAGACTTTCATTCAATAATTTTAGATCTTTCTACAGATAGTTTGTTTAATTCAATATGATATTGAATGAAATTACGCCAAACATTCAACTGTTTTTTAAGCTGTTCGAGCTAGTATGATTAAACAAATGAGCTTAATAAATTTGTGTTGATGAAAGATGTTATTCTATAAAGACCCTGTTTCACTTTACCGACAAAGAAATTCATCATTTTATACGTATTTGGCATTGCATTTTGCATTATTTTCTATTTTGTCCCAGTTGTTCTTGTCAATTTTAACTGAAAGTAAATGTTTTTTGAAAACTTTTGTGGTTCATGATTTCCTTATCTTTCTCACGCATGAAAACAGATGAAAACTGGTAAAATCGAATCTCAAAATCTAGTAAGCTTATAGAAAAGTAGTTAAGGCTTATATGAAAGGAATAAAAATATTCTAATGAAGAATTAGGATCAGAAAACTATTTTTTAACTGATGACACATTCAGTTTTAACGTTTAGGGCCTTCATTTCACAAGTTTAGTTAGCTAATGATCTCCAGCCAATTTTCTCTCTRATGCTACTAAAGCATTTATTTTCTCATTATAATTTCATTGCGGTAAAAATATGGTTCTTATAAAAACATAAACTCTTCATATGGATAACCAAAAAGTAAGCTTATATTTTGCTTACCTTTTCTTAAGCAGTTTTCTACTTTGTCTTATGCCAGTGTTTATTTTTCCATAAAAAGTTAGAAAATCTCCAAAAATTGGATTTTAATCAAAGACATCTAAGGTAAATTTCACTAAACTTGACATTTTATTGGATTATCTGTAGTTATCTTTTGTTTTTCAAGTGAAATTAATCAGGAATTCAAAGCGTAAAAATACCAGCCATGCAAAAAAATTTTCAAATCTTCAAGAACAAAACTAGCCCCTGGGGTCGTTGGTGGTGGGTTATGTACCTGTGACAAAATTTCTAAGTGGGAGAGTACTAAGGTCAAAAACAATGACTCGCGCAAAGAAAACGATGTAGTGCATTTTGATTTTACTTTTTCACTTCATTGTTTCCATTATGGGGGGGCATTATCTTCATCTTGAAGGAGATGCCTAAATTTATATATTACTATTACAACATTGTTACCTGCTTCATTTTCCTTGAACTCAACCGTTTCCACAACCACAAAGTCATGCCAATCAACTGAGGCAAATGCTACTCTTTCCTTTTCTTTCTCATCTTCAAGTTTTTGCTTCTCCCTCTCCTGGTGTTTCAGCCATTCTACTCTGTACTTTACACGATGAAGAATCTAGTAGTTGAATCAGAAAAAATAGTACTTAGTTGATTGCAGACTTGTCAGGYTTTATTTCTACGGAATATTAATTTACAGAACTGACAATACATGTGACCATAAATAGGTCATCTAATCTTGGAGGGTTTTTGATTTGTTTTTTTAGCTACAATAATATCTACCAAAAAGTATTTTACAAATCTATCTCAGCAAAAATATCAAATTAATTTAGTTTAAAAATAACAAATAATATTAGTAATTACATAAATTTATTAATAATACAAATAAAATTAATGACAATGGAGGAGTCACACTCCATGATTGTCTTTTTAAAAACTGGATTAGGTGAGTAGTCAAACACCAACACTAGATCAACTAAGGTCAATAGTAGGATGAGTTACTCTCGTGTTAAGGTTCATGTTCAAGTTGTGAAGAAACAAAATAGTATTTTTTTGATCTTAAGAAACTTATCTATATATTCATATGTTTTAGTTCAAGAAAGCTGTAGATAAGTTTCAAATTCCTGATATTCAAACTCTTGAGTTCCTCAACATTTCATTAGAAAACACTGACAGTATCAAATTTTTGTTCCAAAAAATATCAAAAATATTCTTAAGAATCTTTTAGCCCACTGTAAAAATATACATATTTATCATATGACCCATACGGCCGCTGCTCGCGCGCTCTAATAAAACCATTGGAAAAAGTCACATGATGGGGGCCGGATGGGTTGATGTAAGTGGGCCGGTAAAACCCGTCCGGCCCTGCTCAAAATCCGTCCGGCCCTCTTCGGATGTAACCATTAAATTTCATTTAAAAAGAAACTAAAATGACTGACAATTTAAGCGAACACGACGAAAGCGAATTCTACTATCCAGACGAGATATCTGACACTGAACTGGCTCAGCAAGCAACATATTTTGAGTCAAATCTGCTCAATGACCACGAAATACAGAAATACATCCGAGCACAACAGAAAACAAGTACAATCAAGAATCCTTCTCAAGAAGTATCCAGCGATACCTCAACAATAAAAATGCAAAAGTAAACACCTTAAAAGATGAAGAGTTTAAGCTTTCCAGACAAGCCTTGAGGTCCAGATGACGAGAATTAAGAAAAGAAGGCAAATGAAACAAGCCAAATGCTACTGCTCCTCTGACAAGCAAAGATATTGATGCTATTTTTAATGAAGATGAGTTTGGAGTCCATGATCCAGAGATCCTTTCCCGTACTATGTGGTTCTTGCTTACTTTGCATTTTGGTTATAGAGCACGACACGAAGTAAGACAGCTGAAGTTTGGAGACRTACTTTTGAAGAACGATGAAATAAATGGCAAAGAATGTGTAGAGTGGTTCCAAGAAAGAGAAACTAAAACCAGACACAGCGATGAAAATGAACACCAGAGAGCTTTCCGACCAAGAGCTTATGAGAGCGGCAACAATAAATGTCCTGTGGCCTGCTATAAGCAGTTTGTTTACAGGCCTCCCAAAGAAGCCAAAAGTCCAGAAGGTCCGTTTTTTCTTGATATAAACCATAGAAGGAAGCCAAATGATCAAGTGTGGTTCCTAAACAGACCGATGGGAAAGAACAAGATTGGTGAATTCCTGTCTCAAGCAACAAGTTCACAAAGTCAAAAGCTGGTTAAATTACCAACCATTCCGTACATAAAACTGGTATCACAACACTCCTAGATGCTGGTGTTCCACACAACATTGTCGCTCAACTGAGTAGCCATAAGAGTCTTAAAAGCCTTGACAGTTATGCGGTTGCCTCTGAGAGCCAACGACGAAGCATGTCGAAGATACTGAGTGGTGTTGAGAACGTCAAGCATGAAGCCAGCAGCAAGCAATCATGTCTCCCAGCGCAACCGACTACAAGTTCAACTGCCCCTGCAGGTTCTTTTTTGGGGGGAGTAAACATTGGAGTATTGAACATTCAGAATCTTGTTCTTTCAGGCCATGAAGAAAGCTCTAGTTCGTGTCTGGTCAAACACATGAAACGTCGTTTTATGATCGAGTCAGATGAAGAAGACTAAAAGTCTAAAAACATTGAAATTTGTCCATGAAAACACTTAGAGTTGACATAGACATTCTTGAGTTCCCAAGCTGCTATTTTTCCCCGACTTTTGACCAAATAGCTATTTGCGAAGTGTAGTAAGAAACTTATTAAAACTTTCAATGGTATTAAAAACAATTTTACTTCTTAAAATGTGCCTCGTGTTTACAGCGACTGTTAAATGGCTTCTTTTCAATTAAATAAAAAGGAATTCTCCTATTGGTTCTTGTTTAAGAGAGCTGTATTTATCAGGTTTAGCAAGATCTTTCAGCCTTTTTTACGATAAAAATTGGGTCATATGATAAAATGCTTATTGACTGAGTTGAGTCGGGCCAGACAGGATATTTGACTCTTGGTCATTTGTACAGACCTCGCTGCGCTCGGTCGTTCGACATGATCTTGGGCCAAATATTTTCTCATCCGGCCCTCCCACTCAGTCAATAAGTACATAGTATGGCATAAAAAATTTCAAATTGAATCTCTGATGATACATTTAAGGGGATGKTTGGACCTAGCATTTTTTTGAAAAACCTTGAATTATTTACCTTGTGAGGATCTTCCACATCTTTCCTTAGTTTTTCCTTGATGTTAGCTGGAGGAATTAGCACCTAGATGGAATACCAGGGGTAAACAAAAATTTGGAATTTAGTAGATGCAGCATCTATGCAGCTTTCAAGTTCACTTGTCAGAGGATGACTTTATTCACTTATGTACAATGTACTTTCTCACCTTAGTATACTGCTCAACAAGTTTGGTGAAGTAGTTGAAAAGGCTGTGTTGAGGTCTCAGGAAATCAAACTGATAATTTCTCTAAAAATGATCATGAAATGTGGATATTATTATATTAAACATTACTGGTATCAAAAAATCCTGTTAAAAATGGTTATATGACAGAACAGACAACGTACCTGCTCTCTGGACATAAGATTGGTCAAAAACTGTCGTCCATTTCTTGCCACAAACTGTGCTGTTAGTTTCACAATATCACTGTACAGGTAGAAAATCAAATTATAATGAAAGATAGGTGGATGGGTGATATATGGAAAGGTGGCCAGGGTAGATGGATACATCATGATTATAGATTGCTGGGTAGACAGGGCCTAAACTTACAGATCTAGTCCTGAAATACTTGGAGGATCAGCAATAAACTCATATTCTGGTGGTGGTTCCTTGGGTATAACAGGTTCCGGTAAGGTGATTTGTTGCTGCATCAGTGGTTTTGGCTGAATAAAGACAAATTCCGTTTTGTTATAGCTTATTGGTGATAGATTACATTTTTTCATATTGTTATGGAAACATTATCTTCACCTCTTTTCAGTAAAAGGTATAAGGAAAGAAATCTGAGTGTGTCATTTTATGATATATTTCACTGCAGTTACTGCTACATACAGTGACAATACTCTAACCATGATAATAATTTGAAATTTGCTAACCAATCAAGGAGCAGAAAAAATAGGCACATTCTACTTTCTTGGTCCTACTTTTTAAGATTATCACAAAAATATTACCAAAAGGTATATATTTCTATACAACATGAATGGTTACTGTAAATACTGCAATTTGAAAGCAGAAATCTCAATATATTTTGATTCATGTTGGTTTATAATGTAATATCTCAATGACCCAACTTGACAACAATTAAAGTATTTTTACAGTGAGTAATACATAGACTTCACAAACCTTAGTAGGCATTGGATATAAAGCAATTGATGGTTCAGCACCTAAACAAAAATATTCATTAGTATAATTAGTGTCACAAGTGTTGCAAAAGCAGGTGAAACTGTRTTATTTGCTATAGACTTGAGAAGAAAAATTATTACCCATTAGTTCAATTAGTTAATTAAGTTAGGGCTTAGGAATGCTGGGCTCTGATTGGATTGTTCATTGGGACATGTTAAAGAAAGTTTCAAGATGGGTGGTACACAACTCATTTTAATCCAACAAGTTTTGATTGCACAAGTAGTAAGCATTTCTACTTTCTGCGAAACTTCCTCATTATTTGGTTAGAGATACCAATTTTGACTCAAAATCTCCTGATTTAAGTAACCTTAATAGGACCTACTTATTGAATCCCCTAATTAAGAACATGTAAGACCAAATCTTTTATTCCTTACCTTTGCCAAGCTGTTCTTTGAAGTCCTTAACTTTGTGCTGGAAATATGCATTGTATGGATCACCAGCATTTAGAAAATTAAACTTAGGGTTGTTTATTTCATTCTGTCGAATTCTGGATTCAAACTCTGGACCTTTAAGTGAAAACCATTTGATTATTAGTTTTTCTAACATATTTATTAATAAAGATTTAAAGAAAGAAAGAAAACTGAAGTATACTGGTCACAGTGTAACATTTTTCTTGACATCAAAATACAATATCTATTGTATTCAGCAACTAATGCCATAAAATGTTTTCTATGCTAGGATTTCAAAGGACAAAAATATCCTTATACCATCTAATACAACATAATGGGATAGAGAGGTAGCTAGTGATGTTTGGTATTTATGTTTGAGAATCAAGGTGGTATGAGGGGTAGTATATTACATTGGCTTGACATCACAAGTGAGTAGAGTTTATTACTGTAGTAATCTCTCTTGATTCAATAATAATAAAAGGGTAAATTTTACACCGTGAAAAGATGAAAAAACTTACAAACATTTTGGACGCTAGTCCTTTGTCGGAGTAAAAGAGAAAGAGGTGGTAGAAAGAGAGAACAAAACAAAAGAAACCAATAAGAACAAGGTGGGCAAGGAAACAAACGAAACAATCAAAAGACAAAACGATGAGGGCCTTCATGCTCTTCAGCATTTTTTTGATCTTCGTACTACCTCGAGCATAGTACTCCCACTTTGTTACACTTAGCTGAACTTGTTCTTACTCGTTACACCAATTTGTTTTTGAAAAACTTGTTTTTCAACAGTATACTAGACCTAAACCTGAGTTTTTTGGAGGGTATAGTGATGATTGTATTGGTGCCACTTCTTGTTCTCGTAATACTTAGAATCCTTTATCTCTTTTGTTAACTCTTTTCACCCTGCCTTAGACTTTACGTGGGAAGTTAGTGATACATCAGTCACTTTCCTTGACATCTTGSTYAGTGTTAATGACGRCCGTMTTAGCACTAGTGTCCATTACAAACCTACTGAYTMTCATTCTTATTTACTCTACTCGTCTTCTCATCCTAAGCACACTCTTAACGCTATTCCKTTCTCSCAATTTCTTYGTYTTCRYYGTTTGTGTAGTGATGATCTTGATTTTTCTGTTAAATGTTCTGAGATGCGTTTCTTCTTCCTGAAGTGTAATTATCCTGCTCGTGTTATTGATCACTCCATTCGTAAAGTTTCTACCATTGAACATTACCAACGCTCTCACTCCTCACACTCGTCCCTCTAATGTTCGCATTCCTTTCACTCTTACTTATCATCCTATTGATAACTCCATTAAGCCCATTGTTAATGACAACTTTTCTCTGCTTGACTCTGATACTCACACTTCTGCTATTTTCAACACCCGCCCTCCTTTTTCTTATAAACGTGATCGTAATCTTCGTTCTTTCTTATTCAAGGGAAGTCTTTCCTCTGACAAAGAACTTGGTACTTTTCGCTACTCTCACAAACATTGTTATACTTGTCTTCATATAATAATAATTCACACAATACCAAAAACCTGGAAACGTTTCATTGTACAACATAAACAAAATATTGAAAAAAATCAAAATCAAAAAGATAAAAAATTCTTGTTAAAGGACGCRTTAATAATCATGGAAAAGGTAAAGACCAAAGACATATATGACGCTATTGTTCAAGAAAAATTTGCAAAGCCTACGGCTCAAAATAACTTAAATAAAAGAATAAGCAATAATCAAACAATCGAGTGGGAAAAAGTGTATGGTAGAATTTACACAACAACGATTGACACTTATTTAAGAATGTTTCAGTATAAGATATTGAACAATGTACTCTATTTAAATAAAGATTTACACCGTTTCAAGATAATTAATTACTCCTCTTGCTCTCTCTGTCACATATATCCAGAAACAATTGATCATCTTTTTGTTGAATGTATAGAATCCAAAAATTATTATTTTGAAATAAGGAATTGGTTAAAAGAATTCGATATATTTTTACCAAGTTCAAATAAAATTAACATTATATTAGGGGTGGATGATGAGCTAGTAAATTTCATTATTTTGTTATATAAATTTTCATTAYATAAGGCAAGAGAAGCATCAATTACAGCTTTATCCTTACAGTTATTTAAGAATCTCTTAAAGCATTACGAATATATCGAACGAAAGGTGGCCCTGAATAGGAACAAAATGAGTCTGCACAATAAAAAGTGGAAAAAATTGAACGATATATGATAATTTTGGTAATATTTTTTGGTAGATGGGCACAGGGAAACTGTGTGTCAGTGTGTGTATATATGTGTGTTTTGAAATTTGTTTAAGTATAATTTGTGTATGTGTATCTATCTAAGTAGGGCAGATTCAAAATTCAAAATATTGTACTTCATGTTTTGTTCATTCTTAATTTATCATACAAAAACATATTGTAAATAGTTATCTATAAGAGAGAAAAAAAAAATCTAGAGGGTTGCACTTAGTGGTGCAATACTCATCAATTGTAAATGGCAGAATAAATTCTAAAAGCCGGATTTGTAAATATATTATTATTAGAAAAAAAAAAAACTTGTCTTCATATAGCCTCTCACACTTCTGTTGTTGACCTTAAATCCACTGTTAAAATCACTGACCACTTTGTTTGTAYCACTTCTAATGTTGTATATTGTATCAAATGTACCCGCTGTAATCTTTTGTATGTGGGAGAGACTGGTCGCCATCTCGGTGATCGCATTTGCAATCATCTTCTTGATATTTGCAATAACGATCCAACCAAACCAGTTTCCTGCCATTTTATTCGAACTAACCCTTCTCTTTCTGACTTCATTGTTTTCTGTCTTACTTTGATTAACGGCAACAATGATTGTTGCAAGACCAAAGAAAAGCTGGATTTTCTCTGATTTCCCTCCCTTCACAAAACCTACCATGCTAAATTGCATTTCAATTAATGAGTTAATTAGCTGTGTTCTAGCTGACTTACCATTTCTAGAAACAAAACTGGCTGTCTTGTCCACAATATCTGTTCAAAGTAGTTAAGATCTAATAACATAATATTGTAAATCTCTAGATATGCACCATACGTGCTTCGCTGTCACCATCAGCGTTTGCATGCACACTTATACCTAAACACGAGCTAAAAACACAAGCATCTCAATAGTTCTTTGATAAATAAACAAAGTCAAATAAAGAAATAACAAAGTGTAGATCAGACAACGACGCAGAACACATGGTAGAGGATACTTCTGACCTCAGGTGGAGGATAAATAATCCCAATTGTTGGCTTGGAAACTTCAACTTCATCCTTCTTTTCGCCACTTTCGAGCGTAACAGGAGGCATCTTTTCGATCCTATTATTATATTACAGAAAAAAGGCGTTGATCTTTGATAGTTTCCTGAAAACTAAAGGCAATATTGAGCCTCAAATACGAAGCTAAACGTCCAACATATTGCTTTTCAGACCCAGAAGGATCATGGGTATTTTGGGTTGCAAAGCATCATGGAATATGATYGTGAGTAGCCAATCAGATCGCTTAGAAATTGGCGCCAAAATTCAAATAGAAATCAAGAAAATATCAAAACAAAGAAAATTAAAGTGGATTTTCTTAAAGAAAATTCCTTTATTGCCAAATAGRAATAGCAAATAAAAGTTCCCGGCTTAGTCTTGACTTGAGTATTATGACTATTGGAGGTGCGGCGAACGTCTTTTATCCCTTTTTTTTTCAAAGCCCTTATTTATTATAATTTTTTATGCTGCTTTTTATAAGTACATGTAATACCATGGCTCTGAGGGACATTAGGGATTAAATGTCCCGAGGCTGAGAGGACATTTAATCACTAATATCCCGAAGATGCCATGGTAGTAGTTTGTAATATCATGATCTCCGAGTGAATAAACGAAGTAGACAGAACTGTAAACCTTGAATACTATTAGCAAAAAAAGTCAATGGTGAAAATAAATGGTGCATTACGTCTCGCGGGAAATTTTTATTATTAGAGCTATAGAACCAAAATAAAGGTTTGATTAAAATACAGAGCGCAAATGAATATATTAAAGTGCTTTCAAGTTACGAAAGAGTATACATTGATTACTGAGTAAGTAAGTTAGTTGTACTTTCATGAGCAATGGCGGATCAGAGCGCGCGTAATAATAGACCCACGGAATTCCACCAATCAGAGCGCTTGTAATAATAGATCCAGGGAATTCCACCAATCAGAGCGTGCGTAATAATAGATTCAAGATTTCTACTAATGCACGTAATAAAGTGTTTATGGTAACATGATAGACCTACTGATTTCCACTAATCAAAGTGCACGCAATAAAGTGATTATGGAATAACTTTATAGGCCACCTTTTCACACCAATCATAGGGCACATAATTGAGTATATTATAGACACTAAAGTTTTCATAGTAGCCTGCCTCCGCAATGAGCTTCATCACTAAAATCACTACAATAGTAAATGCCTGACAGAACTCTCCAGTGTGATAAGAAACCAGATTGTAGTGATTTTAGTGATGAAGCTCATTGCGGAGGCAGGCTACTATGTTCCGCTGGGCAGTAGATCTCTTTCAGGCTACATTTACCATTGGGACAGTATTCTTCATCGGATCTGTCGGAGCAGTCACCCACGTTGTTACAGACGAAGCTTGATTTGATGCATTCTCCACTTCTGCACTTGAATTGGTCGCGGTTACATGTGCCTGGTTTGGCTGTGAGAAAAAAAATCGGTTGAACTATCGTTATTACAAAAAAAGCCTCATAGTCAATTATGAACATCATCATGGTCATCACCACTATCATCAGGAAGCACGGGTGGCGTTAGCTGCTAATGCACCGCCTCTCACCAATGAAACCCGGGTTTGATTCGTAACAGGTATTGTGTCGTATGTGAGTAGAGTTATTTGTTGGTTCTCTTCAGCTGTGCTTCGATAATTTTTCTTCGGGTTCTCTGGTTTCATCATCATCATCGACATCACCATCACCACCGCCACAACCAACATGATCGTCGTGTCATCAAATCAATCAACTTTTATCATCATCATTACCTTAATCACGTAACATCACCATCATCACCATATTCATCATCATCACCATCATCATCAAGTATCRACATCATTATTTTTATCATCATCTTCTTCAATAAGTATCATCATCACCATCATCATCATCATACTGTCGTTGAAGAACAACAAACACCGAACACAAACTTGACGATACTCACGTGGTACGCGGTCGGTGAAAGAAATGTCATCCAAGGCGATGTCACTAGTGTAGGTTGGACCTCGTGCAGCTTCGAATATCACACAATTTTTGTTGTTGTTTTTCTGTGCCGCGAAGTCGTACTTGCCTCTAATCCATCCATCTCCGTGGTTACCACCTACTTTCCATACCTTAGAAAAAAATCAAAATTTTTTTCATCAATGGTCACTTTAAATTRCGTTAGTAATCGATGGAGAATCTTAAACGACATAATTTTTTTCAGTATAAGGATAGACCAAAACGCGTTTGCAAGGGTCTATATGCACAGGTGGACCAGAGAGAAACCCTCATAGGCCTTTTGTGACTTCCATAAATAGGATGCATATTGGCCTTGATGATTGGGTACAAATATCTCCATACAAGACATATATGCACAAAGAGAAAACCTCATAGGGCTTATGTGACTTCGATAAACATGATACGTTCTGGTCTTGATGATTGGGTACAAATATCTCCATACAGGACACATATGCACAGAGAGAAAACCTCATAGGGCTTATGTGACTTCCATAAACATGATACGTTTCCAGTCTAATAGCAGATTTGACGAACATGTCAAAACAATTTTAAAGAGCTTAAATAAGTCGCTTTTTGTAATAAGATCTCTTAGAAAAGAGGGTTTTAATCAAGCTGAAGTAGGTACCATTTGTTTAAAACAATAGTACTTCCTAAATTAAGATACGGACTTTCTKTCTACGGGACTATTATTCAGAATTTTTTAGATAGTTGTGCTAAAAGACGTTACATCTCTACTAATTTCAATATTTATGACATCGTAAGAAATAGTGATAAGCAAATTTTAGATAAGATTATTAATACCAAATATCACCCTTTGGCCTCAATAATTCCTAAGTCCAAGAATACTCATTACAGTCTTAGAAATATCTATTGTCCAAGACCAAAGATCTCTACTGAACGTTTTAAAAAAATTCTTTTAGTAATAGATCGATTTTTAATTATAATTTAGCTATTTAGTGTCGTTTTATAATACTAAGTTTATTTATTTTTATATCATATTTAATAATACTGTATTATGTATTTGTAAATTTGATGTGTATTTCATCAAATGTAATAAAGACTTTATTATTATTATTGTTCTGGTCTTGATGATTGGGTACAAATATCTCCATACAAGACATATATGCCCAGAGAGAAAACCTCATAGGACTTATGTGACTTCGATAAACATGATACGTTCTGGTCTTGATGATTGGGTACRAATATCTCCATACAAGACATATATGCACAGGAGAGAAAACCGCCATAGGACTTATGCGACTTCGATARACATGATACGTTCTGGTCTTGATAAAGATGAAGAAGTTTGTCCCAAAGCAGTTCTATTTAAAGCTGCATGGCCTATGTACAGTAGAAGCGGGACCCCCAATTCCAAAATTAGCCATTTTACATACCTCGGTATTATTGCCATCAACCTGGACCAGCATCCTCAATGTTCCCATACCAGAACCATACATGTGGTACGAGTAGTTAATACGGCAGCTGGATGGCACAGGTTAATTGGAGGGCGGGTGAAGTGATACGTGCGTTTGCACTTCTTACAATGCCATATCCTCGCCTGCATATGTACCAGCCTGCATGTCAAGGAAAACAAATATTATAACGAACTCTATCTTCCAGAACAATAATGTTTTTTTTAGTTTATATAGTGCTCTTTTCCATATTGAAATGATCAAAGGCGCTTTACAGTGAGTCATGAAGGTGTATGAGGTGTAAAAAATCTTGGACAAACGTTTTGTCATTTTTCCCCCCTGAAGATGAGCCAAAGGCTTGAAAGCTTACATAAATAATAATAATAATTAAATTTATAATAACGTATATAAAGAGATCATGAATATAAAATAACAAATATATGTACAAATTACTTATTTATCGATAAAAACATATTTGTAAAATATAAAAAACAATTA